TGTCCGCAAGAGCTCGTGAGATCGGGTCACGAGATTGAATGGCTAGCAAGAAGAAACGCACCGGCAGTGACAACCGCGTCCGCACGACGGCTGAATTGAAGGGGGCCGACCGGGGCGACGACGTCCCCAGCGCGGCTGCGCGGAGCCGGCGCGGCGGTCGCGAGACGGTCGACGCCCTGGTCGTGGCGTTCGTGCTGGCGTTCCTGATCCGCACGTTCCAGGCCGAGGCCTTTGTCATCCCCACCGGGTCGATGGCGCCGACGCTGATGGGGCGCCACAAGGACGTGTTCTGCGACCAATGCGGCACGCGCTTCAAGGTCAACAGCAGCGACGACGCGGCCGACCAAGGGCCGCTGATGCAGCGTCTGGTCCGTGAGGGGCGGATGTCGGCCCGGGAGGCTCAAGGCCGCATGCAGGGGCTGTTGTGCGTTGGCGGCGAGTGCCCGCAGTGCCGCCACTTGATGATGCTCAGCGACGACACGCCCGCCAAGCTCCGCCCCGAGTGGCAGCCCGAAGCCGAGCAGACGGCCAACTACAGCGGCGACCGCCTGGTGGTCAGCAAGTACGCCTACTCGTTCTCCGATCCCGAGAGATGGGACGTTGCGGTCTTCAAGTACCCGGGCGACTCGCAGACGAACTACATCAAGCGCGTCACGGGCTTGCCCGGCGAGGTGGTCCGCATCTTCCAGGGCGACCTCTTCGTGCGACCGCTAGGTTCAGACGACAACTTTGCGATCGCCAAGAAGCCTGCGAAGACCGTGCTGGCGATGAAGCAGTTCGTGCACGACACGCACCACGAGCCGGTTAGCTTGATCGACGCGGGTTGGCCGCTCGCCTGGGCGGAGTCGGAGGGCTGGGTTGTTGAGAAAGAACCGGCCGTCACCGTGCACGACGCACAGGTTTACCAGCCGACGTACCGAGGCGACGCCCCCGCGGGCGAGACGCGTTGGCTTCGTTACCGCCACACGCCTCCGGGCGAGCCCGTTTGGAGGCGGGTGCTAGGGGACGAGGAGCCGATCGGCGTCGAACCCAAGCCGCAGCTCGTAACGGACTTTACCGCCTACAACACGCGGCTGAACCTCGAGCAGGCGGCCGATCTCGGGCAACTGAGCCTTGCTCCGCGGCCCTATCGCGCGGAAGACCTCGCGCGGTTGGGGGTGCATTGGGTCGGCGACCTCTTGTTTGAAGCGCATGTCGAAGTTGAATCTCCCGAAGGCGAAGTCTCGCTCGAATTGGTCGAAGCTGGCACGCACTACGGGGTGACGATCGATGTCGCGACGGGAGAGGCCTCGTTGTGGCGGCGGGCGTTTGAGTCGGACGAGCGCGAGGAACTCGCCAGCGTCTCGACCAGCGTTCGCGGCGCCGGCAATCACGCCGTGCGGCTGGCGAACTTCGACAACCAACTGATGTTGTGGGTGGACGGTTCGCTCGTCGGCGAGCCCGTCGACTACGAGGACGCCGCGAGCGACGCCGAGAGCCCGGCGGCGGTCCCTCGGACGAGCGACGCCGACGAGGGAGACCTCGCCCCGGCTGGCGTCGCCATTTCAGGGGGCAAGCTCAAAGTCGATCGCCTGCGGTTATGGCGCGATGGTTATTACATCGCGATGAGCCACACCGACCACAGCGACGGGCTTATCACGGATCTGACCACAACCGCTTTTGAGGGGCTGACCTCGCTGTCGCCGGGCGATGCTGTGCAAGCACTGCCAATTGAGCCCTCTTTGTGGGAGGCTTTCGCCCGCCGCCATCACCGCGATTTCGACGTCAAAGAAGGCCAGCTCTTTGTGATGGGCGACAACAGCGGCTGGAGCCTCGATGCCCGCCTCTGGGCCGGTGGAAATAACCGTAACGGCGGTCATCCGGGCGGCCCCTACCTAGAACGCAAGCAACTCGTGGGCAAGGCGATCTGTGTCTACTGGCCCCACTCATGGTATAGCGTCCCTTTCACCCGCCAGATGGTGCCGGCCTGGCCCAACTTCGAGGACATGCGGTTGGTGAGATAGGGGAGGGGCTAGGAGTTAGGGGCTGAGAGAAAGGGCGGGGAGCCGGCCACGTTTGTGGTCGGTGGATTTACCAAGCGACTCAAGGACGAGCGCACCGATGTCACTGCTAGAAGCCCGTGGGCTCGTCAAATCGTACGGCCGCCGCCGCGTTGTGGACGGCGTCGAGTTCGAGGTCCATCCCGGCGAAATCGTCGGCCTTCTCGGCCCCAACGGCGCCGGCAAGACGACCTCGTTCCGCATGACCTGCGGCTTGGTCGAGCCCGATGGCGGCACGGTCAAGCTCGCCGACAAGGACGTCACCAACTGGCCGCTGCACAAGCGGAGCCGCGAGGGGGGCATGGGCTACCTGGCCCAGGAGTCGAGCGTCTTCCGCAAGCTCTCGGTCCAGGACAACCTGCTGGGCGTCATGGAGATGCTGGGCTTCGACCGCCGCACCCGTCGTCGCCGCTGCGACGAGCTGCTCGAACAGTTCGGCATCACCAAACTGAGGAAGAGCCGGGCGATGAGCCTCTCCGGCGGTGAGCGGCGGCGGCTCGAGATCGCCCGCTGCCTCGTCTCGAACCCCAAGATCATCCTCCTCGACGAACCGTTCACGGGCATCGATCCGGTGACGATCGACAGCATCCAAGAGATCGTCCGCGAGCTGCGTTCGTCGGGCATCTCGATCCTGATCACCGACCACCAAGTCCGCGAAACGCTGGAAATCACGGACCGCAGCTATGTGGTGAAGTCGGGCCGCGTCCTCTGCCACGGCACGCCCCGCGAAGTGCTGGCCCACCCCGAGGCCCGCAAGCACTACTTCGGCGAAGGGATGGGGACGACCCTCGGCGCGGCGTGAGCCGAACTCGCTTTAGATAAGAGAACCACAAAGGCACGAAGGAACAAAGAAGGGCGTTAGGTGGGTAGTCCGGTAGACCGCTAGGGTTAGTTGACAAGCCTTTTCCTATCGGACTGCCGGTCTAACGGACTATGACGCACTTTA